ATTCCCGGGGGGGGGCAGGGTCAGGAGCTGCTTCATGCGGCTCCCAGAAGCCACGGCATGGCCCCGCTCCGGCTCCTATGCGCTCCAATGGCCCCCTCCGGCACTCCAATGGGAGCTGTAGGGGCGGTGCCTGCGGACAGGGCAGCGTGCAGAGCCGCCTGGCCACGCCTTCACATAGGAGCCAGAGAAGGGACATGCTGCTTCTTCCGGGAGCCACTTGAGGTAAGCACCGCTGGGAGCCTGCACCCCTGAGCCTCTCCCCACACCCCAACCCCCTGTCCCAGCCCAGATCCCCCCTCCCGCCCTCTGAACCCCTCGGTCCCAGCTCAGAGCATCCTCCTACACCCCAAACTCCTCATCCTCGGCCCCTCCCTGCACCTCACTCCCCCACTCCAGCCCGGAGCACCCTCCCATACCCTGAACTCCTCATTTCTGACCCCACCCCAGAGCCCGCACCCCCAACCAGAGCCCGCACTGCCTCCCGCCCTCCAACCCCAATTTTGTGATCATTCATGGCCCGCCATACAATTTCTATTCCCAGATGTGGCCCTCGGGCCAAAAAGTTTGCCCATCCCTGGTCTAAATAGTCAAGACAGACAAAAGATGGGAGGGAAAACAGGCACAAATAAATGAAGAGACTTACTCGTGGTCAAACAGCAGGTTTGTGGCAGTGCTAAGATCAGAACCCAGGTCTCCTAGGCCAATGCACTATCCACTAGACAACACTGCCTTCCATCATTTAAATGAGATGGGGGGCTGGATAGAAAGCATGGTGGGACGTCGACCTTTAATGACTTTGGCAGAAGCCTCAGATTTGCAAATACAAAAATAAGCTAAAGTGTTAAAAGATTATGTAAATGTTGAAGAGAACTTTTCTCCAGCCAATTTAAAAGCTTTTATGTCTTCTGCTGCTTGTAGAAGACATTCTTAGGAAAAGCAATCTTATGGCCCATTTAGTGGAGCGGTGAATCTCGATTTTATCAGCTGTGCCTCTGTAGTCTCATACAACAACAGAGCTAAATAACTGGCAGCAAGATAAATTCTGCTCTTGAAACAAACACAACCGCAAAAAAAGGGAAGTGCTAAGAGTAATTATTTTGTACTTACATAGCAACTTTCGTCTGCGTGTGCCAGGGCATGTTGTAAACATTAAGCTCATAACAACACCACTGTGAGTGGAAAGATGAGTAAACTGAGGCACAGAGAAATTAAGTGAGTCATTATTATAAGCTAGGAGAACCCAGAAGCCCTATCTGCCTAGCGACCCCAACCGAGAATATTGTCTAGTGTGTGTCACAAGTGTGACACACTGGGGAGTGTGTGCTAAACATCCCCTGCTGTGCTGATGCAGAAAGGATGTGAATTGTACAGGCCCCAGCTGGACAGCAGTACAAGTCATGCTTTTAGCTCTGAAGGTCCCTGGTTCAATTCCCAGTGTGTCAGTATCATGATAGGTACTGGGAATTGAACCAGGGACCTTCAGAGCTAAAAGCATGACAGGTAATGCTGCCCACCTGGGACCTGTACCAATTCATATCCTTTCTGCATCAGCACAGAGGGGGATGTTTAGCACACACTCCCCAGTGTGTCACACTTGTGACACAC